CTATTACTACTCTATTGAAAACAGGAAATGAATCAAGTGTGGACCGTCTTATGAAGCAAATTACAAATTTCATGTCTGATATTGCTGATGAGTTCAAAATTGTTGTTGTTGAAGCAATCAGATCTCTGTGCTTGAAATTCCCTTTAAAATATAGATCTCTGTGAGTACATGTCATTCTATAGGTTTCTTTCCCCCAGAAGTTACTTATATCATTTGAATGTTTTTCCCAGATAAAAGGTCTAAATTACTGGTTTCTTTTCTGTTATCATTTTCAGGATGAATTTCCTAAGTAACATTCTTAGGGAAGAAGGTGGCTTTGAATACAAGAAAGCAATTGTAGATTCAATTGTGATTCTTATTAGAGATATCCCTGATGCCAAGGAAAGTGGTTTGCTTCATCTTTGTGAGTTTATTGAAGATTGTGAATTCACTTATTTGTCCACACAGGTAGTAATTTTGGTTTTGTCCTTTGTCATTTACTGTGCGTGCCTTTGGATTTTTATCTTCAGTTGTTAATTTTCCATTGTCCCTTAGATACTGCATTTCCTGGGAGTTGAAGGACCAAAAACATCCGATCCCAGCAAATATATTCGCTATATTTATAACAGAGTACATCTTGAGAATGCGACTGTTAGGGCCAGTGCTGTGAGCACACTGGCAAAGTTTGGTGCTGCTGTTGATGAATTAAAGGTGTTACATCCCTCTGTTATCAATTATTTTCTCTAAATTTCTCTTAGACTGTTTAGTTTGATATTTGTATTAATTTAAAATATCATAATTACTCTTTGCAGCCCCGCATTTTTGTACTGCTGAGGCGGTGTCTTTTTGACAGTGATGATGAGGTGAGTTTTTGTCGCATCTTACAAGGCATCTCTATACATATGTGGTTTATGAGATCATACAATTTGCAACTCTGGAGGTGTTTAATTTTCAAGGCCGTTACTTTGATTTGTATCTGAATGATTTTGATTTCTTGGCAGGTTCGTGACAGAGCAACACTTTATCTGAACACACTTGGAGGTGATGGTTCAGTTGTCGAGACAGATAAAGATGTGAAAGATTTCCTCTTTGGGTCATTTGATATCCCACTTGTCAATCTGGAAACTAGTTTGAAAAACTATGTAAGTTCTCCCTATTTTCTTGCTTTTCATTGCTTAAGGTCTTAAGGTCATATTGCATGTTTTAATGTGAGTGCAGGAGCCTTCAGAAGAGGCCTTTGATATTAATTCAGTGCCCAGGGAGGTCAAGTCTCAACCTCTTGCAGAGAAGAAAGCTGCTGGTAAAAAGCCTACTGGATTGGGTGCTCCTCCTAGTGGTCCCCCATCTACTGCAGATGCATATGAAAGGCTGCTTCTATCCATTCCTGAGTTTGCAAACTTTGGGAAGCTTTTTAAGGTTATTTTACTCAATTCTATATTTTTATATTTTTCTTTCCATATATAATGTAATATGTATTATTTATTCTGAAGTTGTTATTCCTACCAGTCTTCAGAACCTGTGGAGCTTACTGAAGCAGAGACAGAATATGCAGTTAATGTTGTTAAACACATTTTTGATAGGCATGTTGTGTTTCAATACAACTGCACAAACACGATACCAGAACAATTATTGGAAGATGTAAGGGCTATATAGATACTGTACAATTTCATACTATAATGCAACTCCAGGTCTTGTGTATAATTTTTTCCTCTATTCCAGGTTATTGTACTTGTGGATGCTTCGGATGCAGAAGAGTTCTCTGAGGTGTTCTCAAAGCCTCTTAGATCTCTGCCTTATGATTCACCTGGGCAGACGTTTGTGGCATTTGAGAGGCCTGAGGGATTGCCAACAGCTGGAAAATTTTCTAACATTCTGAAATTTATTGTTAAAGAGGTTCTTGTTCCCTTTATCCTTGTGAAGCATTGTGGTCTTTCTCTGTCCTAGTCCTAGGCCCCCAACCATGAGGCTTATTTCAGTTTTCTCTGGCAGGAAGTTTTGTGGAAATAAAACCTATAAATATTTTTTGGATATCTAACCACTGCTTCATAAATTGGATATTGACCAGGTTGATCCAACCACTGGTGAGGCAGAAGATGATGGTGTTGAAGATGAATACCAGCTAGAGGATTTGGAGGTTGTCACAGCAGACTACATATTGAAAGTGGGGGTGTCTAATTTCAGGAGTGCATGGGAAAGCATGGGCCCTGATTGTGAGCGAGTGGATGAATATGGTCTTGGCCCCAGGGAGAGTTTGGCTGAAGCTGTAAATGTCGTCATCAATCTTCTTGGTATGCAGCCTTGTGAGGTAAGCCAATGATGTTGATAGCTGCTTTGGTAAATGTTTGTTGTTAGGAGATCAGACCCATTATATTAAAATGGTCATGAGCCGTTTACTCAATATTTACTGCAAAACAAGGTAACATTTTGTTAGATTCATTTTCCATGAATTATTAGAGAGCATATACCAGAAGTTGACATCCTTTTCCTTTTACACAAATTTGAGGTCAATATTACTCAGCTGTGCTTTTGTAGTGTATGCATATAGACTTGGTCAACCTAATTCCTTTGAAAAATTTGAAGTTGAACTTTGTCACGTTGGTAAACACAAGCCACAATGAAGCCATATATGCATGTAAAATGGCGTTGACATGTGCATACACACACTTTCACCTAGAGGTGCACAGTTGACCTGAATTTAGAAGACATTCTTTAATTCTTAAGTGCTTTGGGAGTAAGATACTTACTCCTATGGCACAAAGTTCAAGCCTAAGTGTTGAGAGTTTGATATTATTAACATAGAGCAAATACGTTTGTGTATATAAAAGATTCTATCGCTCTCACTCAGCCTAGTTCCTTTCAAACATTGCCAAAATTCAGGTGCAAGGAGGGTATGAATGTAGTAAATGCTGTTGTATGCCCTGAGAACTTAAAAAGGGATTCTTAGGCGCTCAAAATTGTCATATCTGAATCTGTCATCATCTAGATATTTGGCTTGTAATGGTGCCATTGAGCTGCAAGCATTTCTCTATCTTCATAGTTCATAACACCTTAGCATTTTTGAAATGAAAAGAATAGAGCATCTTTTATCGGTGCCTGTTCATTAGTTATTCACGGCTATCTTATGGGAAACTGATATCTTTCTCATAATTTTATTGTTCACTAATTGCAGGGCACCGAGGTAGTCCCACCCAATTCAAGGTCACACACATGCTTATTGTCAGGTGTATTCATAGGAAATGTGAAGGTGCTTGTGCGGTTGTCTTTTGGACTTGATGGTCCGAAGGATGTTGCGATGAAACTGGCTGTTAGATCCGAGGATGAAACTGTCAGCGACACCATCCATGAGATAGTGGCTAGCGGCTAGTGCACTTAGTCAAGGAATGTTGACTCAACTCGGCCTTTCTTTTTGTTACTGAGATTGGAGTTTAGCAGCCTCATAGATAGCTGTGTGTAAAGAATTGCAAAATTGTACACTTGGTCTTAGTATATGCAATTTATTGGTCACCCACTGCATGTTTGTTAGTCTAGCAACGATACTTACAAGTATTACGTCGGGTTTATTGGAGTAAAATTTCCATGGTGATGATTATACTTCATTTCTTTGTAGCAACTGTAATACGAATTTTTGGGATTTTGCATAAATATTTGTTATCTCAATGATTTGGGTATTATCTGTTAAACAGCAATTGTTTAGTTCCAAAGATACGTCACTTTGTGTTCTTAAAATCTACGTTTTTCTGTACGATTGGTATGTGCACAATGGTTCAGTGGTCATGTGCTGCATGTAATTCAGTGTTGTGGATGATCCTAAAGCCTAATTTTTTTATTCTATACTTGGCTAAAAATAGATTCAGAAGTTTACACACGATCAGATTATTCAATGTATGGTTACAATTTTATATCTCTAGTACGACTACATTGATTTTCAAGTACATATCTCACCTCACGCTAAACTTATGAGCAATTATTACACCCAGATATAAATGAAACTAAGATGCATACAGAATATTGGCTACAGAAATTTCTTATTACACATGCATTGGACATCTTAATTTTTTTAATCTATAAAAATTAATCTTAGTACAAAAGAGTTTGCAACATTTTATATTACAATTTATATCCCTAGTACGACTATATTTATTTTCTAGTAGATATGTCACGTCACGTTGAACTTATGAGCGATTACTACACCCAGATATAAATGAAAATAAGATGCTTATATTAAATTCAAAAAGAATCAATACACCGATCTACATATATATTCTAATTATCAAAGAACCCCTCGAATTTTAGGAGCCATGCAAATTGTAATTCTTTCAATTTCTAAAAGTAAAATGACAATTTTTTTTCTTTTATCTTATGAAAATTAAACCTGGTACTAAAATAACCACACAATTTACACAACTAGCTCCACCTTTCTCAACTAATTTTGCTAGACTCCTTTGGTCATTGGACATCTTAATCTGTGGTCAACATAAACATATAGCTCTAGCTACGGAAGAAGCGGGTCTGAGAGAGTTTTCACAGCTGCATTCAACGATCACACCATTCAATAATCACACTATTTACGGCTCAGAGCTAATGCAAAGTTACCCTCGTAGTTCCCTGCATCATGGTTTTACAGGACAAAAATAGCGTTGATAACGGCCACTCACCTAACTTCTTTAGAACAGGTGTTAAGAGAAAGACGAATGATAGACGTATTTTACATCCTTTCAAAGTTTCCATGTTATTTATTAGATAGCATTGAAAATTTAAAGTTTCAAAGTTTTGGCAACTGTTTTTGTATTAGAGATATTACAAGTGAAAATGTATCGTTTTATTTATTGTGTTGAAATCGTAATAAAAATAACATGGCAAACTTGATTTGACAAATTGTATAGATAGTTCTGGACACTCAGTTAGCTCCATTGTAACATCACTCCATTTTTTGCTGTAAGATTTAAGACAGGCAAGGTAGGTCTTTTAAGCAGTATAATTGTCATAGTTAAAAGGGATAGGTATAGCATGCTATGCTGAAGAGACTAGAAAACAAACAGTACTTCATTTTGGTTTAACGTATAGTTACCGAAGCGGTTAGTACAATGGAAATAGTACTAGATCACACACATGGACAAACGGACATGAGCATAAACAAACCGTTGCACTAGTTGCAAGGCTAAAATGAAGGGTTATATAACCACGCAATTCTCTCCAATTTGACCATTCTTGCAAAGGCCATCGGGTTTTTTAGTAGCCCTCAATGGCTTAAGTTGTTCTCCTATGCCCTCCAAATGCCCATATCTGCAAGAGGCAAGTTGTTAGCAAATATAACAAGACAAATATCAACCACTTGTAGAAGATAATTTCAAAACTGGTACCCAACTGTCTATCCCAATCCCATAACCCAAGAGTTATTCAATAAGAGGAAAAAATGCATTATCACCTTTAAGTTTGTGTCCCAACTTCCTGTACACAAGGCACTTCCATCAGCTGACAAACCTAAACAGCTGATCCTGTCCTCATGAGAGTCTTGGAGCGATCCTAAATCCAAGACCACCTGCAAAGAAACAAAGAAGCAAACATATGTTCTGTTAAAAATCTAAGCAGACTTCGGTCATAGTGCAACCAGAAAGAACGCAATCCGAAGTTGTTGTATGTTTCACTAGAGCACCAAGTACCTTTGCCAATAAAGTGTCCCAAACATAGCAATCTCCATTTGTGTATCCAGCAAAAAGAAGTCTTCCTGAAACAGAGAATGCAATGGAAGTTACAGGCGGGATGTCATTGTCACTGTGCTGTCGATAATATACTTGAAGTTCATGTCCAGTCCTAATGTCAAATAATCTGCAGGTTCCATCATCTGAGCCAGTTCCAAATCTATTTCCATCCGGAAAGAATTTGATTGCATTAACATCTCCCTCATGCCCATGAAATGTTCGCACTGCTCGACTTGCCACCCGAGTATCCCACAATCGAGCAGTTGCATCACAAGAACCAGATACAAACATTCTTGAGTTGGATCCATTAATGGAGATACTGCGAGAGGACAAAAAGTAGAAATATTTCTAAGAAAAGATTCAAGATTAACAAAAAATATAGAAAAGAAACTTGGTAATTAACCAGCATGTCAAATACCAACAAGATTTCATAATTTATGTGTAAAGAAAGAAAGTTTTATGTTTATGAAGATGCTTTGCATTTTGAGGCTAAAGTGGCCATTCTTTTGCAGATTAATTTATTCAACCAAAAACAACAAAAGTTACCATCGCCTCCCTTTTATTTGGAATCAACTGCACAGATTGTTAGGAGTTGGAACAGATGGGAAGGGAGAATTTGTTAGCGAGAGATGGAGTAGTCAGTTCAATACTGGTGATCAATTAGACAAATACGGCGAAGAAGGCATGCATACAATTAGCAAGTTCATAAGAAAGGGGAAACCCTCGGAGGAGAATTTTTTCTCCTTGTTTCTGTTTAGTTTCATTCGATCAACAAAGTTATTCTTTGGGTTCCTAACACAGACATCCCTTTACAGAAAGGCCGAAACTGAATCCAATATAATATTATGTCCAACAAGTAATGGATTCTTTTACCGATACATTTTCACGAATGTCTTCTGGTCAAGTTTCATTCATATATCCTACCCTTTCCCAGACTTGCATAACAAGAAAAAGGGAAAAGACGCATGATTGAACACCAAGAACATTCAATCAGCCGCTGCACCAGCAAGTGAATGTCCTCTCACCTTCTTTTCCTCAACTGAAAGGTTGAATAGAGGTAGGAATAATATTTGACCATAAAACAAACATCCATGATCCGACAAATCTGCTAGTCTTGCCAGTATTTTGGGGTTAGTAGTTAAGTTTTTTGTGTGTGAAGACACAGGAGTTCTTTTTGTAGGTTTGCATAATAGATTTTTGGTAGGCATAGTAATGCAAAATACAAAAGCAGAGATAATAATTTACTCAAACAACAAACATCGGTTCAAAGTTCAAACTAATTCAGCAAACAACTAATATACCTGAGTACATCTGCAGTGTGTCCAGACTGAAACTCTCCTCCAAAGACAGATGTTTTAAGGCCAGTAGTAATATCCCATAAAACACATGTCTGGTCACCAGAACCAGTGATTAAGTGAGTGTCTTCATCTGGAACATACTGACAAGAGGAAACATAACCCTTATGTCCACTCAGCATCCGGGAAACAGGTAGGTTCCCATCCTTGTCAGTGGGAGAATTGAGATTGAAAATAGAACAAACACTGTCAAGGCCACCGCATGCAACAGACTGACCAGTTGGTGAAAAAGCACATGTCATGACCCATGCACAAGGCAGCTTTATGGCATGAATTTTCTGCCTAGTTAGAGCATTCCACACTATTAATCTCCCATCTTGAGATGCACTAACAATCTGACTCTTTTCAGAAGTCCAATCCAATGAATACACCTGCAAATTTGAAATGAATACCAAGTCAACCTAAAATCTAAATATTTGAAGGTTAAAAGAAATCCACAACAAAGTCGGTACTATCCACGACATTCTAGACATCATTCAGAACTGGAGACACAATGCAAAGGAGCACTTTCATTCATAAGTTATAGTCCTAAACCACTTAATGACATACAAACTATATTGTGATAGGCCCCATTTGCATAAACTTTTTAACAAGACACTTATAAGACAAGAAAGCGAGAAAGTAAAATGAAATAACTTCTCTCATGAGTTAAAATAAGCTTAAGCATAAGCGGCTTTATAAAAAGTCTCTCATTTAACTTGTCCAAAAACTGATTTTATAAGACCATGTTTGGATAAATTTCTCGATAAACACTTTCTTGTGCATGACCTAATTGATTTATTATCCAACCAGGGTCCAATTCATTTTTTCTTATATTGTAAGTGCATATTGAGAAGTTTAAAAGATGACCTTAAATAACCATGGTGATGCCCTTGAAATCATGAAATCATGAAATCAAGCAAGCTTAATGAGCAAATCACACATTACACATCAGAACAGATAAAAGGAGAAGAAAAAAAAGAAAAGAAAAGAAAAAAAAAAGATACCTTTCCCGTATGACCCTGCAAGGTTCTACAGCAAACGAGATCCGTAGGTCCAAAGGTGACAGGTGCTCTACCCTGAGACTTTGCGTACTCACAAACTGAAAAATCCCCATCAAACAATGAGCAAGATCTAAAGGCAATTAAGTTATTGGCACTATGATAGTACAAGTTGAACATAAAAAAGAATGAAGAAAAGAAGAAGCTTTACTATCTGTGTCGAGCAAGGAGAGGCGCTTCTGCTTTAAGCGGTGTCTGAGGTTGTTGACGGTGTCGGCGGCGGCGGCGTGACGGTCCTTGAGGTCGGTGACAGACATTTGGGAGAAATTAAGGAAGAAAGGAAGATGTTGGGTTTGAAGGGTAGAGCATTGTGAGTGCGGAATGGAAATTTAAGAGATGAAAATGATGAGAGATAGAAAGAGAAAGAGAAGAAGAAGAAGCAGAAGCAGAAGCAGAAGAACAAGTTAAGAGATGCTTCTCCCTTCTGAGTTCTGACCGCTGCATATGAGAGAGAATCCTTTCCTCAGCTGACCCCACTTTTCTCCATCTCTCTTCTTACATGGCCTCTTCTAAAATTTATTATCAAATATCTTTTTTTACACACTTTTTTAAGAATTAATTATATTTCTTAATTATATCATGTTATTTTAAATATATTTATTTTTTACAATGACATAATTAAAAAATATAATTGATTGTTAATGTAATTTTTTTTTACATAGTATATAGGTGATTAATTTTTTTAATATTAAAGAATAAAAATTATATCAAAGAAGTGTTGTTTTTCTTTTTAATGAGTTAAATAAGCGTTTGCGACAAGAGTGAAATGGAAAAATAGAATCACCTCGTTTTCCTCTTTTTTTTTTTTTTTTCTTCTCATCTTTAGATTAATGATCTTACGAAAGTCTTACTCTATACGTTGTAGTGCCTCCAATCTCGATCTCACACCATGGTGAGGGCTGAAGGATAGAGACTTTCCAAGACTTTGTTTTCTTTACGAGTTCTATTCAGAAACTCTTAATGGCCAATAAATATCTATAATTTATTTTTGGGATAAAGTTATTCAAAGAATCAAAATTGCTTTTAATTTATTAAAGGTTGGATGGAAATCTTTTACTTCCAAATTGCATTGTGGATTATCAATATCAAGGAGTTATGATGTGAACCTTGCTTAGAGGCATTAATAATCAAATTATTGGGTGGAAAATGTTTGTTTTCTTACCATGTTATTTCAAATTGAAGTCAATGTAGACTGCGGAAGTTTCCTCCAATTTGAACATGATATTTTATGACCAAATCTTCTTACTAGAATTAGCGTCAACTATTGGGCAGCTCATTACAAAGTTTGTGAGTTTAACATTTTTTATTTTTTTTTACATTGAATATCTAAAAGTAATTTTTCCATTTAAGTTAGATACCAAATGGGCTTCAGTTCATACCAACATGAATTACTTTTGATAGTTTAGTTTTCTGTTGGTAGTATTTTTTCAAGAGCAACATCAAATAAAAATACTTTTGATTAACAAACAAATTTCATTTTATTAACATGTATTTTGAATAAAAATAATCTAATCATAAATTACATTACAGTAAACGCATTACAACCCTATTAATTCAAAATTATGCTTGCAAATATTAATTCAAGCATGTACATCTCATCCCAAATGTCAAAACTCAAAAGTTAAACAAACAACCCTATTTATTAGGAGCTGACCTTGTGTGAAAATGCCCAAAACTAAAAGTATAGTAGGTTTCATCTTTGTTTGTGAATGGGCCAGGGCCAGGCCCAGGGAATTAATTATCTCCTCCATTATTTGTTTTGGGTTTTCAACATATGTGTACTATTGTTAGTTCAATGTTTGACTTTGTTAAAATTGAACAATTGAAATGAAGTGGAATGGACCAAAGCCGAATGGTACAAGAAAGCACTAGTGCACTAAAAATTTTAAAAATAAAAATAAATTAAAAAAGATTCCGTTGCCGGGAATCGAACCCGGGTCTCCTGGGTGAAAGCCAGATATCCTAACCGCTGGACGACAACGGAACTTGTTGACAATGGAACTCATAATTTTTATCTTATAGGTTTCCTTTCAGATCAACGTATATTTGAACAAAAAGCCTCTGACATTCATAACATACCATGAAATTAAGTTAATCAGGATGGGTATTTCTAAATTCATGCCTTTACTTATTTAGAAGTTCTTAAAACATGTTAATAAATAGAAGTAAAAAATGAAAACACTTGGAACCAAAAAAATGTGAAACTAAAACCATTTCAAATGTTCTCAAAATACAACATGGGAAATATTCCGGCACAATCACATTTAATTGAATAAATATAGGATAGTGGGCTCATAAAATAATTGAAGGAAACAAGGAACTGTGACACCTAAAAGTAGGATATACCACACACAAATAAACGTGGTTTGACATCCATTTACAATTGATAGACCGTAAATAAAAGAGGGCAAATGATAGAGCCTTATTCTAGTATTAAATATTTTGTTTAGTTGACATCTACTTGAACCTTTTTCAGGTACTCCCATTAGGATAAACACAAGTATTGTAACCTACAAAGAGGAGGAAAATCAAGTTAGATAACAATAATTAATGTTATTGAAAACCAGAGTAATTCTATTCATATATCTAAATTTTCTTTCATATCATTTTTATTTTATTTCTTCTTCCTTTTTTCCCGTCTCTCTTTTCTTCAATTTATACATCTAAAACAAAAATGAATTTTAGATATCCCAAATGTTATTATAGTTAGAAAGAAAAGAACAAGTAATATACTGTGATGAAAAAAGATAAACAAAGAAAATGAGAAGTGTCAATGTAGTGTTTTTTTTTTTTTAAAAAGAATAGTGCATGGCATTTGGAAGTGGGTATATAGGACTATACATTGTTCTCTTGCCACATTTTTTTTTATTTTAAAAAAAAGGTGTTAAGAAAACTTACTTGGATTTTGGGATGTAACGATTGCTGTTTGAGAGAAATCACAGTTCCATGGATTTCTTCCAGCCTCCTGGAAGTAGAGATTCATTACAAAGGCAGCATGAGATATTATTGTGTTAGGTTCATAACAAGCACCTCCTGCTTCAATTGCTCCACAATCAACAATTTTGCTACCACATATATAATCAATATTTGCCTGCAATTGAGCCTCACTCACTCCCACTTTTGGAACGCACCATTGTGTTTTAGGAGTAACTGGTGGATTCTGTGAAAAAGGACACTACAAGTTACTCAAAACCATTTGAAATTCTTTCTTTGAAAAAAAATCAATACCATACATATACGTGTTATGTTTAAATATAAACTTCGAAGAACTTTTGAAAATATTTAAAAAAAAATTCTAAAATTCTTTTAAGTTTGTGTGTATTTAAACAGACTCTATTATTTTTTACCATTTGTCCACTAGTGTTAGACTTGAGTAGGCCAACATCATATGCCATGGTAAGATCAGTTTTGTACAAACCAAATGCTCGCTCAGAAGCAGGACCAGGTTTCAAATCCTCATTATAGAGTGCAAAAATGAATGTGTCTACAGATTTTCCAGGCATCAAAGGAGTGCCAACCAATGATCTAAGGTGTGCAATGAGGTTCCTATTATAGGCCATGGCATTTTCAACACTTGCTCCTACTTCATTGCTGTCCCCACTAGAGGGCCATCCTGTCTCAGCAATCACAATCTCAATGTCCTCGAACCCCATATGGCTCAAAGCAGCGTGCACAGCATCCACCTTCAATCAAATTTCATCCATATATTATTAACATGTTCACCTCTCAACTCTAGTTATTAACATGTTGAAGTAAAAAAACTATTCACTTTTTCATGTGGCGCCATCCAACCACTTTCTGCATGAAAATTAAAAAGCGAACCACTATATAAACAGAAAAGTGAGCAAAAGCATGCAGAATAAAAAGATGCATCAGTGTGATTCTCTATCTCTACTGCTGTACTATTATCAAAAGCAAGAACAAGATTAGTAGTAATTCATTAAAAGGGCAGGAACTTTATAAAGAAAAATTTGCTAATTCAATCGTAAATTATTATCGGAACTAAATAATTACACTTACCATCACATAAAATATTTCAAATTAAATTTGACTTAGGGAGTATATATATTTAAAATTTTGACAAACTATCTTAACAACTAGGCAGAGAAATGGGATAAAATGATGATAGTGAAGTAGCATGATGGATTATACATGGTATATACTAGAAAATTGGATAAATTATATTCACATTAATGACCTGACAAGATATTCTTATATAAATTATGAAAACAAAAAATGTAAAATTAAGACAAATATATGTTTGATAAAGCTTATAGGATGTAAACATATTTTTTCAAAAAAGAAGAATAATTTGCCGACCTCATCGTCGAACATGCATGTTGGAATAAAGCTGCCCTTTGGAATAAAAGGGTAGAAATTTTAAAAAGGAGACTTACAAGTTCAATCATAATTTATTATCAGAACTAAATAATTCCACTCACCACCACATAATTTTATTTTATTTTTAATTTGGCTTACGTATCATGCTTTTTTCAAAATTTGACAGACTGTTTTTTCAACTAGACATAGGAATGGGGTAGTAGAAAGATGATATTATTCTCAGATCAAAGCAAAGAACATTTTATTAAGCAAGTAGCATGCATGTGGATAACAATTCGACGTATTACATTGGCATTCCTTAATGTGTAATGAAATTACACAAAATATTTTCTCTTTTTCATATCACTTTAATCTCTTTCAATTTATAAAAACTAAGAATAACAGATTGTGAAGGAAGAATAAATTACTGACCTGAGCGTCGAACATGTTTTTATAAAGCTTCCCGCTACCCAAGTCGACCCGACCCGAATTCGGCTGGAACAAGCAAAACGCGAGCGTTTCGGGTGTCGGGTCGGTCTGGTAAGCAAAAAACGGGTAAGGGTTGATGGCGAAGGGTGATTCGTTATCCTTATTAAAAGCCAGCAACTGTTGGAGCGTATCCACGAGACGCGGGTCGAATGACCCGGAAGAGGGAGGACCCGATTCGGCCAAAAGGGCCATTGCATGCACCGTCGTAACTTTTATTTTGCCGCGGAGCGATACGGAGTCGAGGGCTTTCTGGACATTTCGCATCGCCGGGAGAAGCTGCAAAATGAGGGCCTCGTCGCCGGAGCTTATCACTTCGTTTCCCACGCTGATCATAGTGATGTCGCTTTCCGGGTAGTACGGCAACACGTTCGCGTTCACCCACTGAGTCGCCGACTCGGGATCGGAGGCTAGACTCGCTATCTCGCCGTTCGCCGCGCCGATCACGATTCCGATGCCGGAGTTTGTCAGCGCTTTGATGGTCGCCGGGTCGGCCCCGTAGAGGCGGACTTTTCCGATGGTCGTCGACTTCAGGAGCTCCGCCGTGGCCTCAGCCGGCGGAAGGTTGTCGGCGACCTGGCCGTAGTTTACGCCGATGAAGGGCTGCGAAACTGCATGGAAAAGAAGATACTCAGAGACCCGTGAAGCTAAAACCATTGTATAGTTATTGAAAAGTTTAGTAACCGAATCAAAATCAAAAATTGAGTGAAGGGTTGTTCTCTTTTAGAAATTCCATCAAAGTTTGTGAAACATTTTTCTTAACACATTTTTTTCTTTATTTAATAATTATTTTTAATTAATGATAATAAATGTGATGTAAAAATTTGTTGAAGAGTAGTTGATAATTAGAAACACATTAACACAATATTGTTTGTTCCTCCTAATTAACTTCCGAATGAGAAAGGTACAAAGTTCCACTTTGCTAAGTTTCAGATAGAAAATTCACAGAAAGTGTTAAAGTAATTGGGCTTTTAACTTTCTTGGAAAATGAAAGAAAAAAATGAAAAGAAAAGAAAGAAATTAGGCGCATTCAAAAGGTAAAACAGTATGGTCACAAAGGATGTGGAATTAATTAAGAGAACACACCAGCAAAGCATATTGCATTGGCGATGAGGGAAAGGCAGAGGAGGAATGAAGGTTTGGAATGTGTAGGCATGGTGGTTAATTTGGATCAAGAGTTCAGCTTTTCTACCAACTATGCTCGAGTTTAGTAGTTAGAACTATGAAATCATGAATAGATGTTCTTATAGAGGGAACATGAAGACGAAAGCCAAAAGCAATGTACTAAAAAGGAAAGAGAAAAAATGACCACAGCGATGCCGATAAGGAAGTGGAAGATGTACAAGTCGAAGTTCTTCTAACTATATAAAGAGTGTGTCGGAGTGTAAAACGACTTTTTTCAAGAATCCACAGTTAAAAAACGACTTTAAGATGGGTCCTATATATGCTGTCTTTAAGGATAACTATACATGAATAATTTTATAGACAATTTTTTTTCCATCTCGCTTCTATCATATTCTTTTCATAAAATAAAACGAGGTTTATTTTACTTGAAATGGAATGTGAAATTGTGGTGACAGAATGGGGACAAAAAGTGGTAAATTAAATACTTTATTTTCTGAAAGAGTTAAAGATATTCGGGATTGGTCATTTTCGTTGGTTTCGCACAAAGGTTTAGGTTCCAACAAGAGAACCCTTTATTCTAAGCATATAAGGCGTAATCTTTGTACATAAAAAGAAAGAAAATTAAAATACAAGCAGAACCTGTAATGTTCATAAAGAATTTTTTCTTAAAATTAAAAAAGATTCCCAAAGAAAGAATACTGATACAATCATACAAATATGTTTTATTTGCATCTAAACAATACGTTTTTAATATTAATATGTGAGAAGAAATTTCAAGCAGCTCTTTTACATTGAAATGCTAGAACAATAATTAATAGTTACCTCATAAACAAAATAAATAACATGAATATAAGAAATAGATAGCATACTTTTTATTTAAGAGAACCTATCATAAATGATTGTAACATTAATTTATTATATTAAAAGGTACTGTATTATATATTGTTTCTCAATAATTGGACTTTTTATAATGTTATTTTAACGGAGAATATTAAAATTCATTAAGTATTTCTATACGAGTTTGATGTTCACAAAATATTAGGTTCAGACAATAAAATATAGGAAACTTCTACGGTACCCATTTGTTAATTTTTTGAATTTATAATATAAATTAGTTTTTCAATTATATTATTTATTATTTTTATTTTTATTTTAATGTTTTTATAATATTATTATAATTTTTAATTTTTATTATTATTTTTAATTAGCCTTTTTATTGATTCATCTTATATAAATTTTTAATCTAAAACTTATATTATTTTAAATTTATTTTTTAAAAATGATTTGTTCACATAATTTACAGTACCAAAACTTTTTAATTTTCATGGGTACCATAACAATCCCCTAAAATATATTATCATTTATTTAAAATAACAAGAAAAAAGATAGGTTAGGTATTCAACCATATAATAGACAATTACTGATTACACACGAAATGGTAAAATTGGAAGGAAAGGGAAAATGATGAAATAAAATAAAACGAAATTTGAAATCGTTTGTCTCATGTCAATTTACGAGGACTTAAAATAATATAAATAAAGAAATAAGGAGTAATTTCGTAAAAATAAAGAGAGAAGACAATAAGAAGGGGGAAAAAAAAAATATATATATATATATATATATATCGTAAATTATGTGATAAAAAAATAAAAAGAAAAAATAATGTTAATAAATATAAGAAAAGAAAGGAGACATGGAAATAAAGAGAGCAACAAGAAAATGATACATTTCATGATCTTGACCATATTGGTGAAACATATCAAATTATTGAATAAACTTTACTCTATTTTTTTCAATTTTTTATAACTATTTTATTTTATTTTAGTTTTTGTAATATATATATATATATATATATATTAATTAGTAAAGTGAAATATTTCGTACCTCTATATTTTATTAAATAAAAATATTTTAAAAAATTTAGTATTTGATAATCAATTAATATTGTATTTGGTTTTTTTAAATTCGAATCTTATTATTATAATAATAATTAATTTTTAATATTATTTTTTATTATTTAAAAATATAAGATAAAATTGTCTAAAAATTATTTATATTAAACTAGCAGGAAAAAGATATTCTGTACTTGCATTGTATTAAAAAAAACAAAAAATAAAGAAAAGAATGAGAAATTACTTATAAGAAAAGTAATTATTAAAAAATAAATTAAAGATAAAATGATCCATATAAAAATCGGAACCAAAAATAATTATTAAAAGTGATATCCCAGTATAGATGGGACAATCCCTCAATTATATTTGATATATATATAATAATTTTCTATAAATAAAATTATTGAATGTTATCCAAGTCTTTTGACTTATATTTACTTTAATGATTTTATTATATCAACATTATTATGAAAATTAATTATACTTATGATATTTATCTATTAAAATTGACTCGTATAATATATGAACTAAAATATTACTAAAAAAATTAACAAAAAATAAGGGATGCTAAAGCTACTTTATTTTTTCCACCAGCTTACAAGTTCAGATACATAATTTTCATACTCAATTCTAACCTAATAGTTTATGCAGTTTTAGGCATGTATTATTGATGTAATATTTTTACATTTTCATTTAATAAGAAATATAATTTTTAAAATATTTTGATAAATACTGATAAATTTGTTATATATGATAATTTATAATTAAATAATAATGTAAAAATGTTTCGCGTGTAATTTTCTTCTTCTTCTTATACTACACTCTATCCTATAGTATCGCCATTTAATTATAACTACCCGAGAATACTAAATATATATATATATATATATATATATATATATATATGTGTGTGTGGGTCTTAGTTAAAGTTAATATCATTGCACGTCTTCCTTATTGTACTAATTAGTAATTAAAGGTTCTGTTTTTTAATTGGTTGTAAGGAATCTCATGCAAAAGAAAACATTAGCGCTGATATGGTTCATGTTTCATGTTTGTATGGCCTTCAGGTGCAAAAGAAAAAAAAATTAAATATCACAAACTTTATAGGATGATCTTAAAATATTATAATATTATGATATTTAATTTTAATATTATTTTATATTCTTTAAAATAAGATGATGAAACATGTAAGGTATCTTTAGTAATTATTAAGTTATAAATATGTATAAATAAAAAAATTTAAACCATACTTTTAATAAATAATTCATATTATAATATAAGATTATTTTATTTATTGATAATTTATCTTAAAAATAAAAAATAAATTTCTCAAGAATTTAATTTTTTCTAAAAACAAAAGTGTCGTTCAAAAAATTCTTAAAATCTCTTTCGCAAAAAAAAAATGTTTAAAACTGATTTCTAATAACAAAAAAAAATCTATTTTATTAGAGATACCGATTAACAATACTGATCATGTGAAAAAGTCGTGTATTAGAACCTTAGAAGTATACTCTAAGTCTGAAATCGTACAGACGTTGTTATCAATGAGATAACAAGAAATTCCAATGGTTGAATAAACCCATGGAAAAATCACAAACATAAGCAACGAGAATACGATAAACCTATATATGTGATTGAATTTGTAAATGAATAAACTCTATAAATAAATAGTAATGAATAAACTGATATACATATACATATAGTAACTAAAACACATAAAAACCTACTCGCATGACTTTCTCTTTCACTATCACCAACAGCTCCACTTCCATCAGTGCGATTCCTATTCTTCTTTCCATCCTTAATCTGTCTCATCAAACCTATTCATGAATTTGAACATTCAATCAATAATGTAGATATAATAAATGTCTTGGAAAATCAAAACAAGAGAAAGAAATTAGGCCATTCAAAAGGTAAAAACACAGGTATATGGGTTACAAAGGATACTCTCGAGTTTCGTTGTTAAAACTATGAAATAGATGTTCTTACAGAAGAAACGTGAAAAAGAATAATCTTGCTATGCTGTTTAACTCTTCACATTGCTCCCACAAGGTCTTAAGTTCGGGACGCGAAAGCCATGGCTGCAACACCCGTGGATGTGAAGGAGTATCCGTGTTCAAGATCGGCATGCCAAGACTGAAATTTGAAAATATTAAATTTTAATATAATTCCTTATATATATAGGGTTGTAATTACTTTTTTTTTGTATCACAATATTGACAAATGTATCTATCCACTTTAAATTGGACCAACGAACATTAGTCAATGTAACTAGTTTATCATGTACAAATGTTTATTATACACAACTAAAATTTATAATAAATCGGATATATAAATAAATATTTTTAAATATAAATTATATTTAAAATTTTTAATAACTAATTTATATTATAATATAAGATTTTTTATTTATCAATAATTTATTTAAAAATATTAAAATTTATTTCATTAATAATTATGATAAATAAAAAATGAATCAGACAAAAAATAATAATAAAAAACTTAAAATCTTTTAATCAAAAAATTCTTAAAAATCATTTCGTAATAAAAATATTCATCTTAAAAAAAAATTCTTAAAAATCATTTTGTAATAAAAAATATTCTTCTTTAATGTATAAGAACTGATTTCTAATAATGAAAATTTTCGTCTTCGTGACTCTGAAATCTGAAATAGTACAGAGGTTGCTGTCATTATGAGATGAATTATTTTATTGAAGTTAAAAACAAGAGATTATGACATGATTTTTTTCAAAAACAAGATCATATGAACCGTGTATGATCATCCTTGACCTTGTAAAAAATATGTGAATACCATTTCGAGGTAGTCATGTGAAAAACTAAAATATATGAACGATATAAAATTGGGACGATATTTTTCATAAAATTTGTCAATAAATTAGTTAAAAACTATAACTAAATAGAAATTAAAGTTAAAAAACTAACATCAAGCTAAAAACTAAGTTAACAACTTGCTGAATTAATAGTATTTGATAAAATTATCTGTTAAATTAACACGGGTGAAATGACATTAAACTGGTAAAAGAATAAAAAAACGGCTTGTTGTATTCTCCCTGTTTCATCTTTTTAGTCAAACCAAAGCATGTCACTTTTTTTTTAAAACACATTTAACATAGAATGTAACCCATAAGATGCGATCAGACTCATTATCTATTAAGCGCTGCAACTTACAAAAGATAACACAAGTTCCAACGAACTTGGGGCACGGTTAAAACAATTGATAAAATAAAATATTTTAGATATAAATCAACATGCAAGCTGAAGCCAAGAACGTCAATAAC